AAAGGCAGCGCCCAACTGACAATTCTTCGTTTTCCTATTGCCCGCCCTCTGCCCCCCTCTGACTGACTGGCTGACTGTGTCGCCCCCTTTCTGCCACGCCCCGTTCAAAGTGAAGGCGTTGACAACATTAATAGTTATGGGTGTGGTGCGAGTGCGATTGTGGGTGTGGGTGAACAGCTACCCTAGTTCCAATTGGAACGCATATTTCTGCGAATGCAATAAAACGCACATGTGTTTCCAATCGTCCTGCGAAGTCCTTGCTGGCGAACTTCTCGTCATAATTTCTATGTGGTTGGCAAATAAATTTGATTTTGAGCGAATTTTCTGAAGATTGACTGACTGTCTATCTGTCTGCCCAACGGACTGACTGACAAACAGACAGACAGCCAGCCTGCCAGCCAGGCAGGCACACAGGCAGAAAGACAGAAGGACTGACAGCTGCTTGGCATGGGAGGCATGTGGCATGTTCCCCTTGACAACGACTTGTAGTTAACTCCAGGGATTGCAGCTCGCCCAGGCAACTGGCGTTTTGCTGAGTTCTGCGTTTTTCTTTGCCCTGGCACTGTGCATTGACCCAACCATTGTGCGAATAAAGGACTCCTCGACCCCTCGACCCATCGACCCATCGACCCCTCGCTCCCTCGGGCAAGTAACGCGTCAATCCACACGAAAAGGAAATTGAAACCGTATTCAAGTAATAATAATTCATACAATGTTATTTTCGTAGCACAACACAAGACAATCCATTGGCATTCCGAAAAGGAATTCGATAAAAGCGAAATGAATAATTTAGATCTATATAAAGAACGGGAGAGAAAGAGAGTCGAGTCAAAATCAATCGCTTCGATTTCTTATTTATGCTCAGCTCTTGGCTTAAGTATATATAGAAATTTGGGCCAAACTGCCTAATTGAAGTTCGCTTTGCGAGGGCTGCCAATTAAGTTGAAATCAATTCGATTCGAAAATGGGGCCAAAGAGTCAAGAACAGAGTAGAAATATGAATTGAGATAGGCGCTATCCTAAAAGTAACTATTCATATATTTAAATATATATTTTATTTATATATAAATACAACTATATATATATATATATATATATATATATATATCTACTCACACCTACACCAAAAGGACAAACATGCCAGAGGCAAGGACAAAAGTCATAGCTGTTGCCGTGCAGCCCTCAGAGGTGTCGCCTACAGGAAAAGCTTCAAATCAGCAAAAAAGTTAGAAAAAACAAGACAAGACGAAGATTTTGTACACTTGTCGATAGTTTACTAAGGAATATAAATATGTAGGTATACAAATGAATAGAGGTCTTATGCAATACCCAATGAAGTAACAGCTGAAATACTTTCGAACGGATTTGAAATCGAGTTTCATTTGATATTAATTAAAAAGCTTCTATAATCTATTGCATTTTCAAATTGTGTTTGATATAACGCAATATCAAGAAAAGAACTCTCAACTCTACACTGAAGAGAAGTATTTGAATAAAACAATTGAAATAGCAAAATCCAAACAAAAACATATCTTAATCAAAATTCATTTTATTTAAAATAAAACTTTAGTATAACATCAAGTATTAAAATTGAACTCTGATTAATTCGTGCAATAATGCCTCCTCCTAAGCAATGTCTGACAAATCGCATGACAAATTATGAATACCCTAAGCGAGAGTATAAAAACGAAGCAGAAAAAAATGAAAGGAAACTGGCGTGGGTGTGAGAAGCGAGAGTGGGAGAGGTGGAAGAACTGACGTGGGACAGTGGAAGGGAAAGCAAAGCAACTACACATTTAGTGTTTATTTCGCATTTATTGAGGACAGCCGAAAGGGGGCGGACTGCGAGAGGGTGGACCTTGGCAATAGAATGAAATCAGCAAGAAATAAATATCCTTTTCGCATGTACGCATTGAACAGGCTGTCATAGCTCCCACACATACGCATTCACACACACACACACACACGCACACAAGGGAACAGTATAGGAGTATAAATTGTTTCCAGGTCATTGGTTATCCAGCCACAGAAATACGAAAATGAAATTAAGTACAAAATGAACTAAACCCAAAAATCATATGACATTGATGATTATGATGGAAACGACAAAGTCGAAGCCAAAGAAGGAGACGAAGTATTAGCGAGCCAGAAGCCAGTCAAGAAATGTTCGCTTCATTGATTGAGCAAAGGACCCAGACATCGAGTCGCAGCCAATGGGACTGCCAACTTGTCGACGGATTGGCCACATTAAAATAAAAGTCAAATATTTTGGCCTTTGCGATTGTTGCTTTCATTGATGCGTGCTGTTTTAATGGTCAAAACATTTCGCCAATCGCAAATCGCGCACGTTTTCAACAACGCGACTTTGTATCAGCAAATGGGGTATACTTGTGGGAAATTAACAAAACACTTCCAATATGTGAGATGGGTTGGGTTGGAGCAACTTAAAGATAAATTAAGGAATTGGTAAAATAATCAAGTCCATTTGTGTAGTTCGATATGGAGAGATAGAGTAAAAGGGAGTGAGAAAGAGAGAGAGAGAGAGAGAGAGAGAGAGAGAGAGAGAGAGAGAGGGAGAGAGAGAGAAAGGGAGAGTGAGAGAGAGATTGATAATGAGAGAGTAAAATACAGAGAAAAAAATATAGAGAGCAAGAGAGAGATAGATAAAGAGATAGAGAGCGCGAGAGGGAGAGAGAGAGAGAAAAATATAAGGAGAGATCAAGATAGACAGCAAGAGAGAAGCAGAGAGAGAAAGAGGGATATATATATATATATATATATATATATATATATATATATACATATATATATATATATATATATATATATATATATATATATATATACATATATATATATATATATATATATATATATATATATATAAATACATATATGTATATAGAGGGAGAGAAAGAGTCAGAAAAGTAAAGGCTTTATCAAATTTTATTGCCCTCTGTTAACAGACCTCCTATATTCATTAGTCTAAGAGTCCCCTACATCAGAGGGATAATAAATCTTAATTCATAAAGTATTTTATTTGCTATCATTAATACTTATTGCTTATGAATCATTCCCATTTGATATGGAAAAATACAAGTTTTATCTCCCATTGAGAAACGAAGAAGAAATTAAGTAATTCCCTTATTAAACGATTTTCTTTTCATATATTTCATTGCTTACAAGGAGACAAGAACAAAACTAATAATTTTGTAATTATAATGGAGCATATTTATATGGCAAGTATTCTATCTAGATATTATCTAGCAATTCCATTTTTCTTAGGGATCATAAATCTCAATCGATAAAGTATTTTGTTTCTTATCAATTATAGAAATTGCTTTGAGTTAACTTTTGCTCTTTAGTCACCCGAGAGGTGGGGGAGGAGCTAAGTAATGCCAGTTAATACATATTTATTTATGTTGCCCAACATTTGAATAAAGTGTTTGCTCTTAATAAACCCATTTCGCTAAGCACTTTGTCAGGCTGGTAGTGGGGAGGGAGGTGGAAGGTGGGAGGTTGAGGGTTGCCTGCTGAGTGGGGTGTACATTTTGGATATTCAACTGTTTCCGTTTGTGCTTAACGTCGCACCGCTAGCAATACAAAGCCCAGGATTCCGTAGAAGTACGTCCTCCTCCTCCTCCTGCTTCTCGTCCACCTCCACTTCTATGTCTTAGCCACACGCATTTGCCGTTTTTACTGTTATTTCAGCATTAAAAGTTCATTCGAGTGGCAAAGGAAGCGAAAACAATTATCTGCAGGAAGGTGAAACATAAATCCTCGAATCCAAAAGTAAATTGCAAATTTCGTTTTATTACACTCTATGGGTGTGGCCCCACAGGAGGTGCTGTGGTTAAATCGAATCGATATTTTATGTTATCGAATTTATTATGCAAACACACTCAACGCTAATGCCAATTGGTGTTGAGTTGCCAAAAAATGACACACGCGCCAGCTTCGCATATGCTCCAAGCAGCCAGCAGCCAGCAGTCAGCACCGAGCGTCAAGCACCAAGCCACCCTCAGCCTCTTGCCGGGGAGAGCAGATGCATTAGGCTTCAGATCCTTGAGCTGGCTGACAGGCATCATTTTGAGGGATTGTATAAACAAGCAATTTGGGGGCATGGCTCCGCACCAGGTACGTTTGTGGCGTACTCTGCTTAGCATTAAGTGCGATTATGGCCATTCGCATTGATGATGTTTATGGCTTCTGGTTCATTTATCAAGTGAAATGATGACAAAATGCTTTCATCTGCTGCATACAATTGGCCATTAGCACATAGGCAACATAATTGCCGAAGGTAAGACCAAAGCCTAAAATGTTAATTAATTTCCTATTTCCAGGTAAAGCGTAGGGAGTCGACCATGAAAATTGGGTATTAATTTATGCCGAGGGAATAGATAGGAAAGTGGCATGAAATGCTAAGATTAAATTTAATGTCATGGGAATGAAATCGAATTGGAATATGTATGTTTATATAAATATAAATGTAAATATAAATAAATATAAATATAATTATAAATATAATTATATATTTAATATGAATTTAAAAGAAAAAAATTAAAAAAAAAATAAACAAAATTTATTAAAATATATTTTAATGTTGAACAATGGAATGGAACACAAATAAAATTGAACTTAAATAAATACAAAATAAATTAAATATTAATACTCACATTAGGATCATTGTATTAACTTGATTACAGAAGAAATAAACTGGAATTGGAACAATTAAATAAACAGTTTGCCACTTGTACATAATTTAAGAAACAGTTTAGAATGAAACTACAGAAAAACTAGTAGCAAACAATAAGCTAACTGAAACTGATTGGCAATGAAACATAATTTTAAAAATTGGAAATCTAAAGAACATCGAAATGGCACACACAAGAACTAAGTTTGTTTGTAAAAATAAAATGGAAATAGAATATACATAAAAATAAATTATATTTTACAAATTGTAAATCGAAAACACTTAAGAAATGAATGGAAACGAAATATACAACAAAATTGTGGCTCTTATTAGCTTTATTGGTACAGTCTTACAGCTTGGTATACAGGAAAATGGCCACAATTAGGCCGTACAGGCCGAGCACTTCGGCAAAGATCAGCATTAGCACCATGGCTACAAACAAGCGGGGCTGCCTGGCTGATGCACGCACGCAGGTATCGCCAACAACGCCAATGGCCATGCCCGCAGAGAGCCCGGAGAAGCCGACACATAATCCGGCGCCCAGCTGAACGTGTGCCTTTTGTATGGTGTACTCATCACTAATTGAGCCGGCAATAAGGACGGCTACGACCAGTCCATAGATGGCTATAATGCCAGCCATGACCACCGGTATGATGGACTTCATAATAAGCTCCGGCTTGGTTAAGGCCATTACGGCAATGCCTTTGCCTGACATCGCCGTGCCATATGCAGCGCCCATTGCTGACAAAACGATAGCCGATGCGGCACCCAAAGATCCACAGAAAATTGCATAGCTTGGATATTTGTCTTCAACCTCGGCGGACATGCTCCTTCCACTTCTACAGCTTCGATTACTTCGTTTGGATAGCTAACAAGCAACATCTGATAGATGAAACAATGACTAGATGACTAGATCGAAACTGGTTTGCCGTTGATGTATTCCAATAAGCCTATTTGGGTTAAGGAGCGAAGAGAGGGAAAGAGAGAGAGAGAGAGAGAGAGAGAGAGAGAGAGAGAGAGAGAGAGAGAGAGAGAGAGAGAGAGAGAGAGAGAGAGAGAGAGAGAGAGAGTATTGACTATCATATAACAGACTTTCGTCTCTTTTATACTGCAAGATTGTGAGCGCAACTAGTCAAGTGAAACAAATTTGTATACCCTGCAGCAGGATATTTTGGCTCTCTGAAGAACTCTGTGGCACATGGTAGAACATCTGTGTAATCCATGTGTATTTTTAATGATAAGAGAGAGATTTTGTTTCATTTTTTATTAATTTATCTTTAATTTAATCGTTTTAATATAACTTCATTATATTTATTATTTCCTTATCACCCCTCATTAGATATATTCCTCTGATCCCATTCTATCATACAACCTCATCATACTGTGTCTATCTTACAAAGTATCCTGTCCCGCTTCATCTCTGATGCTACTCCATTTATTATTAAGTATCTATCCAATTTTTATTTCCTAATACCAGAGTCATTTCGCATATTAACTTCTATGCATCATGGTGTACTATCTCTCATTCTATCTCAATCTGATGTACTATATCTATCTCTCATTCTATCTCTATCTGTCATGCTATCTCCATCTCTAGCTCACACTAATAAATATTTTCAATTAGAGCATTTTCCATGCTGTGAGTGCATAAAATATTCGACTTTTTCGTTCTCAGATTCGGTTTTTGAAAATTTTGGCTATGATAATTCTAATATTTATGCGCGTGCTGATATGGCCAAGTTGGCTGATAACACAAAGCGTTAAATGTATGTCTATTATATAATATGCAATTTTCGTCCTCTATCGCGCGCTGTGTTTTGTTGCTGCTAACGAGGTTTATCTTTATGTGCCGTTAAATTTTCCGGCTACCCATGGCATAGAGAGAAAATGTGAAAATTTATGGCGAAATTCGTGTTAGCGGTTTGGTCTACCCTAGCTAGTCTATCCGGCGAGCAAACAAACCGCAAAAGCAAATTCTGACTATTGAATATCGAAGCTGCGGTTTTTCCTACTTTTCTCTTCGATGTTGTTGCTGTTGCTGTTGCTGTGGCTGCTGTTCTTTTTTGCGCATACTTTGAATGCTTTCAGCATTTGCTTGCTTTCCGCACTTGTTTCAATTAAACAAATTGGAATATAGTATGAACCCCTGTCGAGGGGAGGGTCCTAGGTGCTTCCTCTTCCTTCAGTCGGCGAGCTGGGCGGGAGCTTAAAATGCGACAATTTTCTTCGCACAAAACAAAATGGAAATTTGTTTCTGGCACCACTGGGAGCAGCCTTAGTGTGTCTGCGTGTGCGAGAGTGTGTGTATGTGTGTGTGTCTGTGTGTGCGACAACAACAAACTCCTCAATCCCTGCATACCCACGGCCTGATATAGAAGCTTCATGACATTTTTATTTGTGTGCCATGGAATGTTTTGCATTTTGAATGCTTTGTAGCAAAGCGTTTCGGTTTCCACGGGGGGGCTCACGGGTTTTATGACTGGGACTTTGGGGTACGCTCCTTCTTCAAACAGATGTGATTGTTAAGTTGTCACAAGGTGCCACACAGATTCGCAACGCCTGGGAATCAAGGGCCAACCGCTGGGTCGCCGCCATCAGCCAAATGAATTCTCGAAACACTTTAAGTTGCTGCCACCACAAAGATCTTAAATACATTTTTATTTGGTATACAGATAGATGCCCACAATCATGCCATACAGGCCCAAGACCTCGGCGAAAATCAGAATCAGTATCATGCCCACAAATAGGCGTGGCTGCTGTGCCGTGCCGCGTACGCCGGCATCGCCCACAATGCCAATGGCAAAGCCTGCCGCCAAGCCGGAGAAACCGACCGACAGTCCAGCTGCCAGATGAATGTAGCCCTTGCGGATGGTGTAGTCCTCCGACAGCGCGCCGGCAATCAGCACAGAGATGACCAAGCCATAGATGGCTATAATGCCAGCCATGACCACCGGTATGATGGACTTCATGATTAGCTCCGGCCGCATGACGGCCATCGCGGCAATCCCAGTGCCGGACTTGGCTGTGCCATAGGCTGCGCCTAAGGCGGAGAATATGATGGCCGAGGCAGCGCCCATTCCGCCAAAGAATAATGCATATGGTGGCTTATCATCTTCCGTAGTCGATGAGCTCATAACTAACTGTCTTGTCTCTTGCTTCCCCTGATCAGTCTAGCTTATACTCCTGTCCTTAAAGCAGTTTCTGTTCAGTTTTTGGAGCACTGTTTATCAAGCACTTTAATTATTTTTTCTTCCTAAGTTTCTTCAGTTGCCTTCTCACTATACAGCACAAAGAAATTCATTTAGTTTTTTTAACAAACGAACTTAAAAATGCAGTTGATTTGAGAGAATTCCAACTCATATTGCTCGGGTTGCTAAGTTCAGTCCGCATTTTCTTACAAAGGATTAGAGTATGTCACATTTTGGTCATTCAGGAAAGACATAATTGAACTTAAATTAAATAAATGAAAATTTCATAAAAGCGTCAGAAATTGGTGAGACGATAAATCTATATCTTAATCTTAATCAATCTGATTTTAACAATTTTGGAAAAGCTTTACAAATATTTCTAATACAATTTTTTGGCAACTAGCTTAGATCTGAAATTTCAATTAAATTTTTTTATTATCAGTTGAAGATTATTACAATCCTGATGCTTATACCATAGCGGAACCATAATCCAAGCAATATTAATTATAATTGATGTGAATGAAATATAATTTAAATTGAAACTAAGTTTGCAAATTAGTTTTTAAAATTAATCGATCTATATTTAGATTTAGCAAACCCTAATTTAATGTTTGTCCAAAATTGACTTGTTTAAAATATATTTCTAACAACTCAGACTTAAAATAAAAGTCTGCTTATCTAAAGTCAGGTAATCTATATTAATTTATCTATTAACATTAAAACAATGCCCGCAAAAGTTACATAAAATTCGTTGATTCAAATTTAGTAAACATATTGAAGCAAGATTTAAAACAAAAGCTGAATTTTTAAAAGTAAGCATTCGAAATTTATCGCAGGTCACAAAGGAAGCGGGACACTATAAAATTTGTATCTATAAAAAAGTAAATCAATATTTGAATTGTTTTTTTTTTGTGTGTCAGATCTGCTTGGACTGCCCTCGCTGCATATGGTCTTGCGCCTGGTGCCAAGATATTCCATTAAAGATTTATGTTGCGCCGGGATTTGGTAACAGCAGGAAAACTTGTTCCTATAGCTGAGGCGCTGGCCGTTAGCTACTGTGCCTCTCGTCTTGCTTTTTTTGTATTTTTTTGGCTATTGTTGCATTTTGTGCCGTTTGTTCAACTATAAATCGTTTATGTATTTTGTTGAGTGCGAGGATTTATCGCTGAAGCTGAATATGAGAAAGGAATCACATAAATACAAATAAATCAAAAGCATTTCGAATGCCATTGGCAATACAAACAAGTATTGAAGAAATAGAGAAATACACAGATAAATATATATATTTATACATATATATGTGTATATATATATAGATTGTAGTTGCTGTAGCTGTGCGAAAATTGATGTCTTCGCTCATAAAAATAAGGCATCAAAAGAATCGGGTATGCCAGGACCAGGCTCTAGGCAGCAGGCTGAATGTGTTTTTGTTGAAAGCAACATTGTAAATTTTATGACTTTTTTATGCGCTGAAATCTATAAATTATGTAAACTGACACTGACAGCTGTCAACCGAAGGCAACAACCAAGCGAAAGAGAGAGAGAGCGCGCGAGAGGTATAGAGGGAGGGTGAACGGGAGAGAAATACAGTGAAACCGAAACGCTGGCAAGTGACACATGTGTCAAATGGGCTGATGGCCCATTGCTAAAGCCAGAATCTGCCATGGCAGAGCCCAACTTGAAGCTGGGAGTAACTGCTGCAGGCCCCATCCAGCGAATTGCAAAATATGCCCACACCCAGCACAGCGATAAAGAGAGGGCGACTGATGACTCGAGATGATTAAATGATTGCCAGCGGCAATAAAAAATTGATGCTTCAAATTATTGCTGATATATATTTTATATATTGTTTTCCATCTCTTTTTTCGCTCTAGCTTTGTTAAGTATGGCTAGCGCACAGTTGTTTATGATATTTATGTTTCGTAATTTTTTATTACATTCAAGAGACTCGAACAAGTTTTAAAAAAACATAAAAATGAAATTAAAACAAGTAAATGGCTATCCTCGCCATGCTTGAACAGAAAATACCGCCATAATACCCCCAAAAGGTCTTGCAAGTTATTTGAGGCGAAAGCCGATTGTTTGTTATATTTATATTATATTTCATAGAAGTTGGACTTGCAATTATTTGTGAAAGGAAATATTAAAAAGTGTAAGAGTTCAACTTTATTAAAATACCTTTTCTATGCACTAAATTTAATTTTAAATTATTTTTATGAACCTGAATTCATTGATTGGTGGACTCGTCGATTCTATAATTGAATTTGAGTTCTTAATCTGTGCGAATAGTTGAGTTTATCTAGCTATGTCCTTCTGTCAGTTGCTCTGTCCACAGGAATGCATGTATATATATATTCAGACCAAACAACAAGCCAATTGAAATTGATAATCTGACCTGGTTGTATTGAATGTAAAGGTTTTATGCATAAGTATTTGAAGTTGGTTGTATGCTCAGGAAGCTGGGCTCTGGATATTTCCTAGTCGTGTACTCCCTACTCGAGCAGTCTTTCTTGTTGGAATATAAATTTGTGTTATAATAATCAGATTTTAAAATGCTTTTTAGGCGGCTTTATATATATCATAAATGTCACGTTAATTCAAGAAATCATTAAAACAAAAGTCATCTGATTATAAATTGATAGACGGATACCTTTTTTTTAAATATTTTTAATATGTAAATTAATTATTAATTTTTTTATTATTATTAAGGTTTTACATGATATTTATATATATATATATATATAAATATTTTTTTTTTCTAATAATAGTTTTACATTTGGTATATTATATTTATTTATTATTAATCTGTTTCGATTTAATACATATTTTGCAGGATTTTTTCGCTTAGCTGCAGTTAATACTTTTAATTTGTAGAGCGTAGATCCTGAATTCCCTTTGGCCCGTTTTTCTGCTCTGTGCTTCCCGTGTTGCCATTAACCTTTGTGCTTTATAAATTGCTTGAGTGCGTTCCTGCCAAAGTGCAATAAATGCTGGGGCATGGGTTGGATTATGGTCTGCTTTGATATGATATGGTTTTTGAGCTTGTTTCTGCGGAGTGGGTATGTGGGGATAGCAAGTGGCGGGCACTAAAATAACAAACGAAGGAAATTAACCAAAAATAAATTAACTGGAAAACGCGGCCAAAAGGGTTTTCATTTACGCTTTTCTGCAGGCTAAGGGGTGACAACTGTGCTGCTTCCGCAGCGATGTTGACGACGACAGAGACAGCGACTGCGACTGCGACGGCGACAGCGACGGCGACGTCAACAGCAACTGCGACGCTGACTTTGTGTGTGACTTTGGGATTCCCAAATGTGCTTTCAACATGCAATTTTTATTATTGACTCGCGTTGTCGTGTCAGCGCGCAGCTTTTCAGCATTTTCCGCTCGACGAGTCGCAAAAATGCCATTACTGTCAATCAAGAGACGGAAAAAATCCTGGAATGAAATCAAAAGCATTAAAGCCCTCTGCTCGTCAGTCTGTTTATACCAAATATATAGAGAAATGTATATGTATATGTTTATATGCACTATTGTAGGCGATGTGAAACATGAAAATACCCTGGAAGTACACTAAATAGAGGGTAAAAAGCGAAAATGTCTTATTTAAAAACTTGATTATAAAAAACTTAAAAAACATGTATAAATAGAATCAATAATTAACTGAAAAGTACAAATTATAAGAAGTAATATAAATAACAAATAAATAATTAACTGAATATTAAATAAAATATATTAACATAGAGATTGTAATATGTTCGTGACTACATTAAAATGTAGTCCATACTAAATAAATATATAAAATACGTTGTGATAAAAACAAAATATTTTTAATATATTTTTTAATAATAAATTAAATTTATAAAAATAAAAAGATATAATTATAATATCTAGCCTGATTAGTTTTTATTTAAATAAATAAATAATAAATAAATGACAAATTAATGAAACACAAATATTAATTATTCTTTAATACAAGGCACAAAACTGTTCAACTGCCTATTCAAAAAAGAAAAGAACTAAATAAATCAATACAATTATTAAAATAATTTGCAAATATAAAAAATAAAAATAACTTAATAAATTTTAAAAATTCTGTTAAATATATTTTATAAGGAAACCCCCACAAAATGTTTAAATATGCACATTTGATCAATATAAATATATAATTTATGTATACACAATGTATTTATGTATTTCTATATGTAGTTTGGTATATAGAAATAGTATTTTCAAAAGGACAATCCACAAGGAAAGCAATGCTGTGGGCGTGGCAACGACTGTGCAAGTGCAATGACCAATTTAAAGTTTTCTTCAAGTTTTATACCATTTTTGTTGTTATTTGTTCATTTGATAAAAGAAACAGAGAGAGAGAGAGAGAGGGAGAGAAAATGAAATCCGAGTCTGGCAAAGGATAAGTTATATTAGGTTTTACTCTCAGTTGCAAGTTGCAAGTGCTAGACTAATGTACCCCCACTTCAAAGCAGTGCTGAGCGAGGGCAGGTGGTAAAGTTGGGGGTGGGCTGGTTGGCAAGTAGGTAGGTCGGGGGTGTTGACCACTCAGGTGACAATAATTTCGCGCTATCGCGCGCCGCCCGAAATAAAGGTGAAAGAGTATTAAAAACGGGCGACTAGTTTGCGTGTCACGCATCCATTTCGATGTAGCAGGCGACGCGCAAGGGGTAATGAAGTTGAAAATTGTCAGAAATGAGCCCAACAGGCCGAAGAGTGATTGCCAACATGCATCGCATCTATTGGCGTGCCAAAGCTAACGATTTAGCTACTAGTACATAAGTATATTAAGTTTTTCGTTTTAATACACTGTATAGAAAAGTAAAGAGAGGTCTGTTGGGTTTGCCCATATATAAATATATAGAGTAGATATTAGATACTTGTATAGACGCGCCAGAGAGTCGAAAAGTGAGAAAATATCTGGGCTAATGTCAGAGATGTAGATAGAATTAACTATGTGATTTTGTTTATTAGACTGCTTGACAGTATGATAGAGTGTAGACGGCTTGCTTTTCCCACGATTAGGTCTTCTTAAGGCCGATCTGAAATATGAGTTAAAATAAAAATATTCTTGTACTTATAAATCTCTAATTAGAATATGAACGGGTATGATTCGATTTTCTAACAAATGCATTTCTTTTTCTACATTAAGGCATTATTAGACCGAGTATAATATACTCTATAGTATTCGACTTCAAAATGTCTAGACTATCCACATATATAGCAAAGAAGCATGCCGAAACTTGATGTGAATTCATCAAATAAGCAATCAAGTCAAGTTTGGGTTCAATGAGGAACGAGTATATTGCAGTCGAGTGTACCCGACTGCAATATTCTCGTTCGCCCGTCTCTAAAGGGGAGTAGACCTCGGCGCTTGTTGATATTGGTCAAAGTTGGAGTTAGACGCTTGCGCTGATATATCTTTTATTATGTAGTTTTGTGTCATCGTAAAATCGTCGGCTATTACTTGATTGTCCTTCATGAAAGCCATAAAGGCGCTGACAGCTCCCCGAAAAGAAACCGGCCTACGGGTGCCATTGTAAAATGATTTACTCGCCTCGCTTCTAGCTGCGACTCCCGCCTGCCGCTTCCCACTTCTCACTCATTTGTGGCGAACGAAGCGTTTTGGGCTTCTGCTCCATCTACACCAAAGACTACTCATTTTTTATGGCTCCGTTTCTATTTTTTTTTGGCCTCTGCTTTTACGGTCTTTTACAGTTTAACGACGCATTACTGACACACAAACTGAGGCAACCAGCTACGAAATCTATTCATGATTTCGTATAACAAAATACTCTTCACATTTTATCGTATTCATTCTGTGTGCCCTGTCTTGTCTATTAGGCCAGGCCGCATTTGATATTTGCTTTTCCGTTTCCCGGTCTTCGCTTTTAATTTTTGGGCGTAGCAATTTTCTAGCATTTTTATGATATGCCATTTCGTCATTCCCTTTGTATATACTCCATATACATATCTATTTATATATATATAGGTATATATTGTACTTTAATTTCGTACTGTTGTGGGTTATTTTTGCTGACGACTTCGTTATTTTTTTCACAGCCCAGCATTAAGTAATTTATACGGCCCGTATATTAGAACAATTTCGGCCTAATGGATCTTAAAAATGCATTAGATTAATGAAACTGAATTTGCTTCAGTCCATTGAAAACAAGCTCCTGCTGTGGCCATGATTTTCTAATGAAAATCAGAAATAAAATAAAACTTTATATTTATAACTTTATTGCAGATTATTACAAATTAATCAGAACAATTCTATTAGTAAAATATGTAAGAAAATCTCAACATCTTTTAATGTTAATATATTAATATATAATCAAAGTGTTCGTCTGATGTGTGAAGTTTCATGAATTCTCCTTTATTGATTATTAAATATATATATAATAGGCTGTTGCGATTTGTCGCTTTTAAAACTGTCTAATCAAATCAAATATATATAACTATATATAATATATATAATATAATAATATATATAATATAATTAATAAGTACAAAAAAAAAAAAAAAAAGTCAAAGGCTTAAATTTTAAAAATAATTAATAATTAAATAATTAAATAATAATTAAAAAAATTTTAACCAAATTTTTTTCTTTTAGTTTAATTTAAGTTTTAAATTTTAAATTTAAATTCCCCTTTTATATATTATATATTTGTATATAAATACATAAAATATATACAATTAAAATAAAAAATAAAAAGTTAATAAATATGAAAAGCTTAAACCAAATTCTCTTTTTAGATCAATCTATAAATTAAATATAAGAGCTTATAAGAGCTTTAGTTGACATTTATTATTTTCCAAAATAACAACTTTTTAATCTGAATTTACTTTGATATTAAATATATATAAATTTATATGTCTGATATTTATAAGAACACTTATATTTCTTTGATATATATACATATTTATATGTATGTATGTATGTGTGTATGTATGTCATTAATTAAATATGTGTTAGTAAAGATTCAGCTACTGTTTACATGAGCGCTGCATTTGAAGTCCTCGCCCCGTGACAGCGATGAGCGGTCGAAAAGAGCAAATAACTCAGCTACTTTATGGGCTAGAGGATTAGAGGGATAGAGCGCACAGGTGGCACTCAGCATGGGTTTTACTTTCGGGCCCCTAGATATGTCCTTATCACACGGCTTGTCAACATAACTCGAACAGCGAAGCGTGAAGTTGTTGACATTGATTAGGGTGAACTCTGAACTCACCGACGCTTACCGCCCTCCGTCCACCTGCACAGCTTGCCAGGGCTGCGACGACTGCGTTAAGATAGGTCAAAGCCAGCCTGGCACATACATATATTTTAGCTGAATTATTGTTGCACATTTCTTGGCGATAAGCCGTCGAAATAAACTACCCTTCTGCATCGCCTCCAACACTCTGCTGCTGGTTTTTGGCCCGTTTGCCGTTTTTTTCGTTTCGTTGCTCGATTTTACATTTAATGCCGTGTCATGGCAACTGCCCCGCTTGGCTGACCGACGGAACACACATTAGATAAATTAGCCGTAATTATATAGAAGCCAGCGGGTAGCTTATGTACCTCATTGCTTTGGGAACATGTTGTAGAAATCTATCGAGTTTTAAACTTGATATAGCTTGGAAATGATGTTGGTTAGCTTTAAAGATATCTTTAAACTTAGCGTGGATCTTGCTCATTGTAACAGATAGCTTTTATAATCGAGAGGACAAGTGTATCAGATAGATCAGGCATGGATACGTGACTGAAAAAACTTTTGTCTTTTTAATATATCTGAGCCACAACTTAAAGTTTTTATATTGCTTTTTTTTCGGCCAGAAAAATAAGTTGAACACAATATCGAATCACTATTATAGTAAGATTGTATTAATATCTTGTTTAATTTGATTAGTATTGTTATAGTTTAGTTATAGTGTAATTAAATGTTAATTTTAGTTAATAAAATATTTTCGTTAGAAATGTTATACAAATTTTAAGTTTTTCTTAGCCAACCTAACCACAGACAATACTTTTCTATCAAGTACTGCTTATAGAATAAACTATTAAAAATAACTATTTTTTGTTAAGTGC